CTCCAATGGTACATTGAAACCATTGATGTAAGAAGTTTCTACAAGCAGTTCCAGTATACTCATGACATTCTGAGGCATCATTATCCTGACTCCATGATAGTCTGGTGCAGTTCTGGCTTACATTGTTGTTGCTGATTGTACCTCCTTCACTAAAATTCCCGTTGTTATTGTTGTCTGACTCAAATGTGTTCTAAATTAAAAAGTTTATTTAAGCAGGACTTATAAACATTTCATGCTTAGTAGGTGCCTACTCATCATAGTTCACATAGCTTGTAATAACTGTTAAATAGACCCATTACTCTGTTAAATTGATGTGTGAGAAATTTTAACCATGACAAAAAGTCAGTAGAATGGTTAACTTATATTTCTAGTACTTCCTTTGTTTTGATGACATTACTATAAGATTTCTTAGCTACTATACCACATCTCGCATTGTATTTCAGATTGCATTCTCAAAGGAATTTACTACCACATGTATCATTAATCAGACAATTAGCAATGTATGATTGTGAAGATATAAAGTTTCATTACTAATTACTTTAAATCACAAACATGACACAAATGAGTGAGCACAATCCATGCAAATATTTTTGTTAAGATAACCAAGATTATCACAAGTATAAATTTAGACCACCACTTACTGAAGTAGATCTATAGTAGACTATTATTGGAACAGTGAATAAGCCCAGCACCACAATAAGAAGAACAATGAAGAAAACATTCTCGTTCTTCTTTAGCAATGACCAGCTCAGTCTTCTTCCATGCACTGGACATTTTGTGTAAAGTTGTGTTTGTGTCTAGCTAACTAATGATATTCATAACTTGTGTAGATCTAGTCCCTCCCCTAAAATTTATTTAGCAGCATGGTGTGTTGCACACCACCATAAATGAACCACTTAGATTACAACTTTTAAATTTATGACAAGCAGTGTCCATAAAACAAGCCATCTCATAATATCTCCATTCTTATAAGGGTTAAGAATTTTGGCTTTTAATTTTATATTTATTGTAAATCTGTATCAATAAATAATTATTATTGCTCATTTTATACAATAGATTTGCATGACTTATTACATGGATATTTACAATCTTTTACACTCTTCAATCCATCTCTGTTAAAATACCAGTTACTAAATGTAGTAGAAGCAGATTGACCTTTAACAAAAAAATCTCTCCATGGAATCGAAATAAGTGCTTGACAATGTATTAAACAGGAATCAAGAAATGCCCCATCTTTTGCTGATGAAAATATAGGCTCAGAAGCCTTGTTAAAATTCTATAAAATATAATAATTTTTTATTAAAGAACTATGCTAGCATTTACTTCAACGAAATTATAGAAGTGCTTCATATCACTCTCTGTGCATTTTGGTGGCAAGCATTTAATACCCAATATGTTTTTCAGTTGCCAAATGTCATTCATTGAGTTCAGTGTGAAAATAGGAGATGATATATAACGATATGTGTACTAAAAAGGATTTTTTTAAATGCTTGTCATCATAATTATTATTATTAAACCTGAGCCATGAAGCACTTCCAAGTTTCATGGGTTGATTCATAGGCAGCAATGCAATCTTGATCAACCCCACCAGAACAGTTTTGTAGATAAAATACTATAAATATCATAATAAGTATTACAACTATATACTATAAGCTGCTCACCATTTTTAAACAAGTATCTCATATACTTGAAGCCATGTTTATTAGGAGCATCAATAAAATATCTGCATCAGAATTGATATTGTACAGTTTATAATAATCTATTGTTTGACGAATTATCAGTGTCACTAACCCTGCATCAGATATAGCTCTGTACTTCACAGAAGGAGGAAACAATGATCTGATGTAGTCAGCATGGAGATATGTAGCTAATCCACCAGCTAATTAGTAGTTTGCTTTATATTAATTGATTGCACTAGTCTACAATGATGTACCTGAACATCCAGTTAGTATAAACTCTTGTGCATTTTTCATTCCTTTACTCATTAACAAATGTATGATTGCTTGAAGTATTTTGAAACCACGGAAGTATAGATCTGTTCCATGCACATTAACTGGTTTTTCACTATATAAGAACAAGGAATGATTTATCTAACTAATTAAATGCCCCCAGATATGTATTGAACCCCTGATGCTACTGCAATCAAACAGATCACTAGATCTAGTTTGATTGCAAATATAAGACCTAAAATATTATCATGTTGGATGACAAGTTTGAACTGATTCTGGTCAAAATTGGATATTTTTACAAATTTTTGAAGTTGTTCCAAAATTGGGCCAAAGTCCCTGTACTATACTACAGCATGGACTTTGGCCAAATTTTGCCAAAACATGAAAGGAGTGAATTTTCCAATTTTAAAAAATTTATCATGGCAAACTTACACATAGCCAGCAAAGGAAGCTCCATCACAATATTGAACTTGTGCCATGTTCCAGTTATAGAAGTCAGGATTCTTCTCTTTCGAATCTGAAAACATACCGGCATTATTAAAGATCATAATTTGTGGCCAGTCTCTTGATGATCCTAGAT